TGATCGATCCTCGCCTACGCTAGACGCGGAGCATGCAAGAGGTTCTTCTGCGCTCACAGGACCGGCTTCTGTAGCCTGATTGCAGTCGCCACTGCTGCTGCTAGTAGGCGTTGATTAAGCCGCTTAGGATAGTTAAGTGGGGCCTTGTAAATCACACGGAAGGCTTCGTTGGGGTCCATACGATGCCCGAATCGACCCCTTTTGCCAGGATGGAGCTGTGTATGCTCTAACGTCAACCTTCCTCAGCCATGCCGGCGGCTGTTCTCTTCTTCTTGCGGATAGTCGCCGACTCGTACGACCAATATAGCCAGCTCCAAAGGAGCAAGTAAAGGAGTAAATACACATGGGGGTTGCCTGAGCTGGTAGCCTATCCTTACCTTCCCTGCGTAAGACGGGGTTGGTCGAGAACAGTACTTGAACTCTTACTGTCGGGAAGGTCCGTGAAACGGCTTGGTCAAGGCGCCTTCTCAGGAGTTCACTCGCCGCGTCCCCCTTGTAAGGGGACTTTGAGGAACAGAGTTTTATTTTCCGCAGTCGATATGATTAATTTTTCCGGTCGTTCGGCAAGATTCCTCACAATAAGTCTGTCGGGATACCCGTTCTCTCGAATCAGGTCCTGGATTCTTCTAAGTCCCTCATCAACGCTATCTGCTGAACAGATTTTTCCAATCCTTTGCGCCAAAAAACAAAGAAGATTACATTTCTGTCTAAAAGCTACGAAACTGTAGAATTTCGTATACTGCCCAGACCAGCTGCCCTTTCGATAGACTCTTCTTCGACTGCTGCCGTCAGCTCTTCTGCTTAGAAGGACGTCTAGGAAAGGCAGGGAGCCTGCCGCTTTCACCTCCAACCCAAACCTAATCGACGAATGTGCTTGATTTACAGCATTCAAGATCTTAATTATGTTGGTTTCTCTGGTGGCGATTACAAAGATGTCGTCAACGTAAGGACCGTAGTACCTTAGCTTAATGATTTGGTCGTTTAACAAAAACTTCTCCAGGTTGCCCAGCCAATTTTTAGTCAAGAAAGCTTAGCCGCCATTTTATCTGTCATGCATTTTACTCAGTTTGCCATCACTGAACGCCATCGCCACCCCCCCTCAGAATCAGTCCTGATTGCGCAAACTGATCTCACGGAAATAACTCTTTTAGAAGAAGAAGAAGAAGAAGAAGAAGAAAAAAAAAAGGGAGAAGAAGAAGAGGCTGAAGAAGAAGAAGATGAAGAAGAAGAAGAAGAAGAAGAAGAAAGAAGAAGAAGAAGAAGAAGAAGAAGAAGAAGAAGAAGAAGAAGAAGAAGAAGAAGAAGAAGAAGAAGAAGAAGAAGCGGGCAGCCATCATGACCGCTCTGGCGTCATTGTTCAAGACCTCGCTGTCTCAAGGTTATTCACCCCTTGCAGCGAGCCGTCCCAGACGGGCTGACCTGAAGCCACTCGACCGACTTCAGCTCGGGCATACCTACGTCCACACAGCGTCGCGGCTACCCATGCGCCACTTGGACGCACCGCCCCCCTCCTCCCATGAAACCACAATCTAAGCCACTGGGACACCACCCCTCGGCAAATTCAACACACACCGATTGGAGACCACTTGAGCTTGGCCCACGAGCCTACAAAAGCGGCTGTCACCACTATGTCAGGGACTCTCAGGCAGTAGTGGACGTAGTCAACACCAGCCCTGGCTTCGCCAGTGGCCACTGTCGCCTGAGAGGACAACTCCGGGTTCTGTGCACAATAAACCCCTCATTCTGGTGCCTTCTGTCTGTCTCCTTCCAACAAGGATTTTGCCCTGATTATTTGAGTGTTTAGACTGCACACACTCACACCGCCTGCCGCAACAAAGTCTTCAGCAAATTTCGCAAAGTCAACGTTCCTGAGCATAGCAGATGAACAAACGACCAACACTCTGCGCACAATTACAGCTGAGATTGTTTTTCGTCGCGAGTTCGGTATCCGTGTCTCGATTAAAATCGATAAATTCCAATAGTCTGACATCCAATTAAGTGAGTGGGTGGAAATGGCGCAGACGGATGCTGCGTAAAGCGTCTGTGCAACGGTAGCAGCGGCGGGTGGACTCCCGCGGCGCAGTTAAAAGAGGACTTGCCAACAAGGTCGAAGGGCAAGCTGAAGCGTTTGGCAACGCCCTCCTGTAGAGCGGGTAAGGGTTCTTCCTCGGTTGCAGTTCCCGCAAGCTCACCGGGCCTTCAGTAGGGTCTCAGGAGTCTCCACGCCTCTGTGTGCGCGCGTGCATCGCGTGTCACCCACGATAACCTGCGCGTGAATTAGTTTAAAGTGATTGTAGACTTGTGCGGCATCTGCCGCACTCCCTTCTCCTCCCCCACCTGAGCCCGGTGTCAAGACAAAGTCACGAAGACCGGGGGCGGGGAGGACGTGCAGTGCGTGACCTAACTCATGAAACGTGTCGAATTTTACGAATGATTGCCAATCACTCGCAAATCGACACTATTTCAAGAGTTAAATGCCCATGTTAATTAAGCACAAGCTTAAAAGTATTAAAAACATAAAAGAAATATTAAAGGCAGTGTTGCGTTGCTTAGAAATGTCGATTTATTTTGAAAAGCTCAATATCTCGAAAACATCAGAAATGGCTCTAATTTAGTAAACTTCGTTTTTAGATGTATAGAATGTATTCTCATACCAAACACGTAGTAAATATGAAAGTAGACGTAAAATCACGTCTAATAGCAGCGTTTCAGTGAAGTTTACATCTAAATATCGTTTAATAATTAGTGTGATTTCTTATATGACGGTTCGTCCACTGCATACATTCTGGATGTGGATTCCAAAACAGTTTTCCAGTGTTTCATAATTTCATTAACGATTTGACGTTAAATGAGATGGGGCATCCAAAAATTCTCTAATCGGTTTCCGTTATCAGATTTCATGGGATAGGTCACGTACTGTAGGTGGATGGCACGGCCGAGCCCCCACCTTGGCGCTCCACTCCACGCCCCCTGGCCCAGACAACAATTGGCCAGAATGTTAACCAACAACAACAACAACATCACGACGGGCCAGAAGGAGGAGGAGGAGGACTGTGCAGGTGGATGGCGCGGCCGAGCCCTCACATTGGCGTTCCAATCCACGCTTCCTGGCCCACACAGCAAATGAGTAGATTTTTGACCAACAGCAGCAACAACAACACCCTAACAAGGGTCAGAAGGACAGGGATGATTGGGCAGTCATGCCCACCACCTGCATACCCAGCGGGAGCGCAGGCGCATCTGCCAGTATGGAATCAGGTGTCGGAGAATTACCAGCGCATAGCAGGCTGCGAGGTCCATGGTTTGCTGATCCTGACATAGCAGACGCATGCAAACCTTTAGGCTTGGAAGGGTGACACGCAGTCCTGCACTTAGCCTGGGTCGTCATCTTTCAAGTCCGAGTAACCAAATAGCCGTCGGCTAAGAGGCACTACTTATAAAGCACACACACACGCACACTTTGCGTGCGCGCGGGTTTATAGTGCCAGAAGACGTGCACTGCATGTACCACACTCTCTCCTCCTCCTCCTCCTCCTCCTCCTCCTCCTCCTCCTCCTCCGCCTGAGTCCGGTGTCAAGACAGAGTCAAGAAGACCGGAGACGAGGGAGGCCTCAGGTGGATGGCTTGGACGGATCCCCACCTTGGCGCTGCACTCCGCACCCCCTGGTCCATACAACAGATTAGCAGAATTTTGATCCAAAAAAGCAATAGAGGGCGTGGCAGTGGGCCCAATTTGTGCGGCGACTGCCGACAACAGGGTCTGGCAGCGCACCCCCTAGATGTTGGCATTTGTTATTGCACACAGATAGCGCCTGCCAGAATCCGATGTGGCCTTCGTGTTGGTCCAGCACATCTAACTGGTGACCCATTTGGGACACATACACACACACACACTCCTCGCATGCGTGAGGGTCACAGATCAGTTGAGACAGACCCGTGATAGCCAGGCTCTCAGCCCACCAGTCCGCTTCTCCACACCAACACACACAACTGGGCAGACTGCGTGGACTGAGTCGGGGCGTCAGTCGACAGTCTTCCACGCCACGGCGCTTGGCACACCGTGATAGTCTCAGACCCGGATCACACGTGCAGCGGCATGGAGAGGCAGCCGAGATGCACACTTCCCACTTGCGTGCGAGGTGGCAATTGAATGCATGTGATAGTTGATGGTGTTGGTAGGTGCGGGTGCTGGTGGGGGGAATGTGTGATTGCGTGGTGTACCCGGCGGTTGCCTACTACAGGTCTCGTTAATGCGTCCTGACAGGCCTATGCGGTGAGTGAACGTGCGCGGGGGCAGTAAGGACAGTTACAGCGGAAGCGGCAAATGAAGGTTGGTGCTCCAGGCACTGGTTCGCCGGCCTCTGTGCGGTGGATTCGCAAATGACTGACCAGGCATATGTGTGAGCTGAATGAACGATCGCAGTCAGGACAGCTATGAATCGAGTCCTCATCGCTGAAGGTGGGGATGTTGGTGAGGCATGAAGTTGATGAATCGTCAGACGTCGTCCAATCGGTGGGAGGAGTGCGCGAAGAGGAGGTGCCGGTGATGCCGGACGCTGCGGTCGATGCATGGGCTGAGGCAGGGCGAATGGTGTCAGCGGATGCCGGCGAAGGGGGAGCAACAGTGTGATCGGCGTTGGCGAGGTTGGCGGTCGGCGCGGGGTTTGCGGCAGGGGCGAGAGTGGGAAAAGAGGTAGACATAGACGGGTTGATGGCGAATGGGATCCGAAGGTGTCCAACGAGACCGATTTGTGCGTGGAATGCGCGTTGGCAGAGCTGGAATATTGGAAGCGGCGGATGGTTGCTAGTGAGGAGGCTTGTTATTTGCAAGCCTCCCGTTTGGCTTTGACGGCGATCCGATTCTCTTCGTAGATGGCAGCGCCGATCTTCACTTCTCTTCTCCAGACCGGTCTGTTCTGGGCGAGATCCTCCCAGATCTCTGGATCTTTTGACAGAATTCTCCAATGTATCCTTGTAACGTCGTTTTAGTCCTCCCGGTCGGCGAGCACTGGTGGCGACATCACCATCAGCATAGAAGAGCTGATCCGGTAGTCATGTGTCTTCCATCCTCACGAAATGGCCGGTCCAACGTAGCTGCAGATGCCTCAAAGTGGCGTGAATGTTAAGGAGGCCGGTCTATTCTAGACTTTCCGTGTCGGAGATCCCGTATTGCTATCATCTCGGTTAGATCGCAGTTGGTAGCCAGACATTATACGGTGATACTGTCGACGTACATACCTGTTATTAGTAGGTGTGCTTACCTTGTCTATGGAACTTGTTATCAGTAGGTGTGCTATTACTGAGTTAGGCAGGTCGTCCGTTTCGATCAGGCTGTTGCGTTTAGTGAGAGTTAGGGTTAGGCGTAGGTTAAGTTTTAGGATAAGCGTTTGCGTTTATGGTCAGGTTTTAGTGTTTGGGTTAGGGTTTAGGTTCCCGTTAGGGTTACGGTTAAGGTTGAGGTTAGGGTTGAGGTTAGGGCTAGCGTTAAGGTTAAAGTTAAGATTAGGGTTAAGATTGGGGTTAGGGTTAAGGTTAGGGTTACGGTCAAGTTTAGGGTTAGGACTATGACTAGGTTTCGGGTTAGCGTTGGGTTTTAGGATTTTGGCTACATTCTGTTTTTGAGGCTTAGAGTTAGGCTTTACGGTTGCGGTCAGGGTTAGATTTTATGGTTAAGTGTAGGGTTTAAATTTCTGTCATTATTCCACCTACTTAAAACTTCCCAGCACTTTCCCTGGTAACTTTACTTTTATACAGACTCTCCAGCATTCGTCTACCAGCCCCTCCATTTACCCCACCCATATAACCCCCTTTCCCGTCATTCCCGAATGACAGGGACCTGGCTGTCCGCCTCCCCATTCCTGGCTACCAACTGCGATCTAACCGCTATTTCTTACCTTGGTTAACTCAACTTAAGCTTTTCCGGCCTCAACCACGTTAGCGGACCTTGTGCCATTACTGCCAACGGGGCAAGAGTGAGGTTGTAACAGGGATGAGGCCACCGGATTCGTCACCAAAGTCTACATGTTGACTGCCAGTCTTACCTGAGGCACCATCGCCACAGGAACATGGGGGTGAAGATCAACTGAGACAGTAAAAATCCTTATTCAAACCGACGGTATCTCATAAAGTTAAGAGGAGTGTGAAGATAAATTCAATGCTTTTGGAGGTTAATATATATTATTTATTAAGTTGGTGTCACGCGAGGGTGTAGCGGAGCGTCCAGGAAAGGGCACTATACAAATGGTGACACTTCAAGATCCTAACTGGCACCCAACTCTCACATGTGGGTCCCCGAAGCTAGGCTCTGCTTAGCACCCCCACCCCCGTAGCCATCTCGAACGGCGGGCCAAACCAAATGAGAACGTCAGGTACTATGTATATCGCACACACCCGGTAATTCAAATCTCATCAAATCCCGCCCATTCTCCACTGTTCTACACTCCCTCCCTCCGCTCTCCTCCCTTCCACATTCCACTTTAAAAAGTTCTACGGAGAATGCGACATACAACCCTGTGGACGGTCTCAGGCTAAATCGGGTGGCTCTCCACTAAATAAATCCATGATCCATGGTTTAGTTGGGCAGCAGCATGGGATGTCCAGGCAGTCCTATTTAGGGATGTCATTGCCTGCTCTCTCGTAGGGAAGGAGCTAGAAAAGGCACCCTAAATAAATGCCGGTAAATCACGCATATACTAGCACACCGCAGCTCGTAAGTGCAAAACTCGCGATCAAAAAAAACAAGGAACAACAACAATCCTCGTCCCCCTTCCCTCCGTCGCACTCCATAGGCTGCTAGGGTGAGTTCGCTCACGCTGGC